AGCCCTGCCCTGGGCAGGGACACCTCCCAGCAGAGCAGGTTGCTCAAGGCTCATCCAACCTGGCTGTGAACACTGCCAGGGTTGGGGCAGCCACAGCCTCCCTGGGCAACCTGGATGTCCCATCCCTTCCCTCCAGCTGTGACTGTCCTACACACTTGGAGTTGTCAGCCAGGATTCTCAGCTGTACAATATTAATGTAACAGAGCAGCAGCAGTAACAGAAAATGAAGTTACATTATCCTAAAAAATGAGAGAAGTCTATTACAAGTTACCAGTCCTTTACTCACCCAAAGTTGAAATGTTCACAGACAAAATGGCATAAAGTCAGTGGTGCTGCCTTTAAAATATACCAGTCTGATAAGCCTTGAGCTCATACCCAAGGACAAAGCTGATACTGATTCCACATTCCAATGAGGAATTAAAGATTAATAGAGAAGGCTAGTGGTAGCTTCTCACAGGTCTTGACACCACTGAATCTTGCAGAGCTGAGAGCCAGAGCCCGAGTGCTCTGCTCACACACCTCATGCTAATTGCAGGTGGAATCCTCCCTGTGTGAAGGCTGAACAAACACTCTAGGGCATGGGCCTTGCTTTGGAAACAGTGATTTGGAAACCTGGGGAAGCTGCTAAGTCTGGGAGGTTTGGGTTTAGAGCTCGAATCTTCCTGGACAAACACAGCCAATACACAGAGGTTTTCAGACCAGAAGGAAAAACTTGATGCAACAAGTCTTGCAATTTTTTTTTACGAGCCACACTTAACCTCTTCAGGTGTGTCATGCAAAGATTGAGAGGCAGTGTTATTGCTTGCAAAATTACCTGCTGTTTCCGGGAAACAGTCACTTGCTGGCCCTGTCCTTGTCACTGGTTTAAGTATAATGCTTTTAATAATCTCCCATTGCCTGTGATGTGTTTGCATCAAAGTGATGGATCTGTTGGAGCTGGCAGAATCTTCCAAGAGCTGCTCCCCTCTCTCTCGTTCTTCTGTCGCCATCTAGTGCTTTTATTCTTGGGTTTGCAGCCCAGGAAACAAAGTGCTTTATTGTATTTCCAAGGTCCCTCTAAAAACCGTCTGTGCGTTAGCATCACTTAGGGGTGATTATTACCGAACCTCCATCCCCACACCAGAGCAGATTAATGAAGCGTGTACAGGTTTCTGAGCTGTGGGATGCAAGTGAGCCTTATGGGCTGCAGAAAGATTTACACTAGAGGCAAACACTATCATAAAAAAAAAAATCTTTTTGTCATAAAAGCACCTGTAAATTTGCCTTAGGAGGAATTTGCAGAGAACTTGTTTTCCAGAAAATAAACAGCAACATATCAAAGCAGCTTCAAAGGAAGCAGGTGCTGGGAGGAAAGACAGCTTTGCCAGGCTTGGAGCAGAGTGCCAACATGACAGGCACAGCCACCACTCTGGCCCATCAGCACAACAGGCTGACACCTCATCTGCCTCCCGTGACAAGGCAGCGATGCTGCATTTCACACCAGCACAACGTGAACCTCAACACTCAGCACTGTGACAGAAAGTCATCCTAATAGAAACATGTCTGGTTCTTCTCTGGAGCAGGTCCAGAGCAGAGCACCGAGGCTGGGGAAGGGACTGGAGCACAAGTGGCATGAGGAGAGGCTGAGGGAGCTGGGGGTGTTCAGCCTGGAGAAGAGGAGGCTCAGGGGAGACCTTCTCACCCTCTGCAACTCCCTGCCAGGAGGTTGGAGTCAGGTGGGGGTTGGTCTCTGCTCCCAGGCAACAGCAGCAGGACAAGAGGGCACAGACTCAAGCTCTGCCAGGGGAGGGTTAGGTTGGATCTTAGGAAGAGATTTTTTGCAGAGAGAGTGCTCAGGCATTGGAATGTGCTGCCCAGGGAGGTGGTGGATTCCCCATCCCTGGAGGTTTTCAAGCTGAGACTGGATGTGGCACTTAGTGCCATGGGCTAGTGACCACGGGAGGGTTGGACTTGATGATCTTGGAGGTCTCTTCCAACTTGGTTGATTAATGATTCTATGATTTCTTCTCAAAGGTAACAGAAACAGCTCATTCACTGTAATGGGCCCCTGGATTTGTGAAAAGATTAGTTTCACATCCAGTGCAAAAGAGTCAATCTCTCTTGACCTGAGTATGAACAGGATGATTTGGCATCCAGCAAATTTTACCTTTTTGTTTTCCCCCTTTGAAATTTTTATTACAAAACTAATTGAGGCCTTGAGCAGCCTGATCTAGTGAGGAGGTGTCCCTGCCCAGGGCAGGAGTTGGGACTGGATGATCTGTAAGGTCCATTCCAACCCCTAAATTCTATAATTCTATGATTCTAATGCTGGCACCAGGTCCCTAGAGAGTGTGGGCAAATGCTAATATGCCTCATCTTGTGTTCCATCTGCATTGATCACCAGAGCATCCTGTTTGTCCCTCCAATATCCATCCAGTGATATTGCTCCTGTGGGTAACTAGCTGCACATCTCCTCGGAAAAGATTAGTCTCTTTTCAACAGAGTTGACCCAATTCATTTCCCAGCACTGATAACAACATTTTACAATGTGTACAAAAGAATCAAAGGTACACTGAAAAATGTGCAGGAGTTTCTAGGAAGTCCTTAGCCTTTTGAATACAATGTTCCCGTGAATGATAATTTCGGTACTTCAGCAGAGGATTAGCTGTCATAAGAAATTATTGCTGTTTGCCTGCAAGGAAATAAGTGAAGCTTGCTTAACTAAGAAGGCCAGCTAAAGGTACAGCTGAGATGAGACTAACCTTGTCTCCTGTGCCCAAGGATGCCTCTGAAAAGCTGCCATCACACGCAATAATTTGATAGTGTCAGCTAAAATTAACCTGTGTACTGTAGGAGGAGATAAGAGTAATATTAAATGCCTGCTGATCCTCACTTGGTATGCTGCAGAGACTGGCTCTGATGCTTTGGGAGCCTGCCATGGGAAGAGCTGGAGAACCTTCAAGGCCTGGAATAAGAAATTAGAATCAAAAAGAACAAAATCTGGTTTATTTTGTTGAGAAACTTGCACAAGTTCTTGTGAAGATAGATTCATACAACAATATTTTTTTTTTAGTTTAGTAGCTCCTTTGGAGGGTAAATCCTTTTCTTTGTGTCCTATAATCTCCTAACTAAACTAACTCATGGCAGTATCTTGTTCTTCACTCTTTAACCCTCTGGGACACTTTCATTCAATGACCAGATGCAGAATGTGCTTCCAAGCCACAAGATTTCACCCTAAATCAGCACATTTCCTCACCACTCAGTGTCATTCCTGGCTCTTTATATGTACCCAAATATACACTCATTGTTCATTTGCTCTAGGTCCACAAACCTTTCCAAAAGCTTTTTCTTTAAGCTCAAAGCATCTTTTAAAGTGTGAGTAAAGACTCTTTCCTGCCCAGAGCTGGTCTGTAGGTTTTCATCATGAGTACTCACAGATACCAAGGAGTTGCAAAGGAGCCTTGCAGTCTTTCCTGTTGAGGAATTTGAAACTACAGTGACTCCTTCAAACCATCAGGATCCTGAAGAGTTGACTCTACCATACCCTCAGGACTTCCTTCACCATTGAAAAATAAGAGAAGGTAGAAGAAAGGGAGAAAAACAGGCTCATGTGAGATGCAGAATCATAGAATTTAAGGGTTGGAATGGACTTTACAGATCATCTAGTCCCAAGCCCTGCCCTGGGCAGGGACACCTCCCAGCAGAGCAGGTTGCTCAAGGCTCATCCAACCTGGCTGTGAACACTGCCAGGGTTGGGGCAGCCACAGCTGCTGGTGCAGTCACCATCCCTGGAGGTGTTTCAGAGGTGTCTGATGTGGCACTGGAGGACCTGGGTTAGGGGTTCCAGCAGTGACAGGTTAATGGTTGGATTTAATGATCTTAGAGGTCTCCTCCAGCCTTGATGGTTCCCTATGTATCCTACGAGAGGTATGTGAGCAATCTCAATGAACCTCATCCTATCTGAGCATTCCATGCTAAGCATGTATTGAAATCCTTGCCTAGCAGATCATCACTTCACCCATGGGAATGTATCCTATGAGAGGTATGTGAGCAATCTCAATGAACCTCATCCTATCTGAGCATTCCATGCTAAGCATGTATTGAAATCCTTGCCTAGCAGATCATCACTTCACCCATGGGAAAGTTCTCTTGCTCTTTTTGGTTAGAGGAGAACCAAGGCCATAATTATCTCAAGTGACTGAATTGTATCCATATCCTTTGGTGCCAGTTTAAGCTTGCCCTGTGTTGTAAAAAGCAAAATGAATGTCACAAGTGCCACCCAGTGCCTGTACTTAACCAGCATTTGCATTCTTTATTGAAATCCGTAGTCTGCATGCTACCAGCTGTGAAAAGGGGCAAGGAGAAAGAATTAAACAAGGGAAAAGAGCAAACACAACTAGTTAGGAGTAATTTGGAGCAGTGAGTAGCAAAGGTGACTTTTTTCCAAGTTTTATTAGCACAAAGCAAGCAAAACAAAATACAACTATGTGACCTATGTGAGCAAACAGTGAACATTTGGAAAAGTCTACTAAAGTCACACTAGAAAGAACAACAGGATCACTACTCAATAGAGACTATTCACTAGACTCACAGGATCAGAGGCTTCAAAGCCAAAGGGACCATCACTGAATATCTAACTGTAGTTCACTCCCTTTACTGAACTGATGGGACATTTATTCTCAGAGGGTTTTTGGCTTGCTTGGAGTTTTGGGGTTTGTTTTGCAAAGGGTTGAGAAGTATGAAAATGGAGTTTTACTGTAGGTCTCTGCAACTTACCATTGCATCTGGGAACCTCTGGGAGGAATTTGGCTGTTTGTTATTTGTGAGCCTCACCCTGTGCCATGTATCTGAAATGAGATGGCTGCAGATGTGTAGAGCACCACGGCACAGCTCCTCCCTAAAGCAAACTCTTACACACTCTGGCTCCCTTTGGACATTAGCAATGAGTTCTGTGTGGGAATAGCTCAGCTACAGCTCAGGTATTCTATTTTGTTTGTCAAGCTTCACTTGCCGTTGGATTTTCACTCGTCCTCAGGTTGGAGGACTTCTTCTGATGGTGGTATTGGCCTGGGTTTAGCAAGTTGGCCAGGCTTGATTTCAGGCATTTTTTCCCCATGTCTGTACACACTCACAGTGACATCCACTGTTTCCCCACCATACTTGTTCTTGACGTGGATGCTATATTTGCCTGAGTCTTCTGAGGTCACTCCTTTGATTGATAAACTGGCATATTTCCCCTGCTCCAGTGTGACTGCATAGTGCTCGTTGAGTTCGAAGGCCTTGTCGTTCTTGAACCAAACCACTTCAGGGTCAGGATTCCCAAACACAGTACAGGTTAGATTCAGGGTCTGAGGGAGGAAAACAAGTCGTTTGGAGGTCAGTGATTTGTTTAACCAGAATATTCTCAGCATTGCTCTCAGGCATTTAGTGTCATGGTCTGGTAACCACGGTAGGGTTGGGTTTGATGATCTTGGAGGTCTCTTCCAACCTGGCTAATTCTATGATTCTATGACTATTCCTGATTAATTAAACTAAGACATGGTATCATGTTCTTGAAGACTGAAGAGTAGAGCTCCTAATACTGCTCTTTTCTTTGATTCAGCCTTTCTACCATCTCGCAGTGACTGTGATCCAGTAATAGCCTCAGGGTTGCAGTGTCTGAGGATGGTGAGTTGGGCTGTCACTGCAGTCCTGCCTGCAGGAGACTCCTGACAACCCATTAGCCTGACATGAGGTTCAGGTAGTGATAGCTTTAAAAACATCCTTGAAGTTTCTCTGTACACAGCAGGGAGGAGAACTGAGCAAATCTGTGCTGACCTGAGTTATTGCTTGAGACGGTAAAAAAAAAAAAAACAACTTAAAAATAGAGTCCATAAGATGAATCACTGGACATTGATTCCAGGTGCTGCTGACTAGGAAAGTGGGAATATTTCATGAAGAATAAATAATACATAAATGTTGTAAAAGTGTTCTTAGAATCATGGAATGGTTTGATTTGGAAGAGACCTTAAAGAGCATCTAGTCCCCATGGGGAGGGACACAGGGGGTGGCTCAAAGCCCACCCAACCTGGCTAGGTGCTACATGCAGGACAACGTGTCCCAAACGGAGCTGAGATTCCTCAGTAGCCCATGCTGGCAGCTTAGCTGGTGTTCAAGGACCCAACTGAGATTGAAGGAGCTCATAAAATGTTCATGGTCATTCCTTCAAATCTTTGTAGATTTACTTCTGAACCCCATTTTGCCCATCCACCAGGGATGGGTGTGTAAATGTCATGTACTCAGGTACCGTGAGCAGAGAATAAATGGAAG